AGAAAAATATTTCCTTCTACGATGCAGTAACTGGTGCTTTATAACAAATTTATTGAAAATCTGCGAATCCAGCGGATATCACAAACCAGAGACGTTCTTCTTATGCAAACGGCTCAAGGTGATGATCTCAACAAGCACATTCTTTCTGTAAGGCCGTAACCGCTGCATCATAGCAAACGTTGAAAAGCTAAGAATGAAGCAGACGACGCAAGTCAAACGCTCTACGACTATAAACGACTCGAGGTGATGATCTCAACAAATAAAGCGAAAAATAAAATTTTTCGTAATTTTTTATTTTCAAAATCGAGCTGGCTATTGATATGAAAAGCGGCCGGGAATACAAGGGTACAAAATACAAAATCCGGTTACGTGACCGAACGAAAATGCAAACTCACAGCGAAATGGTGATGAACTGGAAGCTCCAGTTGGACAGACCAATGTCCAGTGACGCGGTAATCCCGGCCGCCGATGTGCCGATCACGTACTCTTTCCAGTCAAGCAGGATTCGTTGCCGTCGACAGATACATGCGTAAATGAGACGATAAAGGCAGGATGTAAAGAATTTTATCAAGAACTGGCACAATACGATAAACAACGGAAAGTGAAACTCCTAGAACACGACGATCACGAAAAGCAACCACCGACCGCAGACACGATAACGTTACCTGTTTCACGAACCACTGTTGGAAAAATGTCAGTCCCAAGGAGCATGGATAGTACACGATCGCGAACACGACGGATCGCAACGCGTTACGCGTCAGACACTCCCTGCGCCCCAAGTTTGGCAGGACATTCATTGAGCAACTGAACAACGAACGTCAACCCGCTTCACTTCTAGGAGGCACCTCTTCAACGAAAGTCAAAGAGCTAAACGCGGCTGAATTCAGCTGTAAAGCCAAATCTTTCTCAACTCAGTCATACATTGAAATCTCTAGACGCCATCCGTATAAACGTCGATGATTTCATGATCACAATACCATACCCCGCTCACAGTTGCCTTATTTCATGCCCCGTGCTTAAAATGGCACTACAGAAAATAGCGATTTTCACGTACGTTAAGAAATAAAATCGGGGCAATCCTTTTTGCTGTGATCTTAATTTCAACCCTATGGTAGGATAAATGTTTACTATTTAAGCAGAATTAACAAAAATTTTACCTCCTAGCATAAATAAAACGGAAGACAAAAAAGCAACTATTACCTGTCCATCCACTCAACTGAAGGCCCCGAGAACGGTCAACAATCACCCTTGAAAGTATTTGAAGAACTCTACTCCATCCTCAGACTATCTTCTGCCGAAACTCGATCGCTAGCACGGGAACGGAGAAACTGGCTGACGCCATTACTTTCGCGACCTGAAATGATAAGCAATCATCGATCTGGCTGACTGATTCTCCTTAACTCAACCCAAAGCTTTCATGTGTGATATTCAGCATAAATTTTAAACTTAAGAGAACGACTACGATCACATTACCTATTCGGAAAGTATGTCAAAGCTTAAATCTGTCAGTTTTCCGATGCCTATGAACCATCTTTCACTTTGGCCACCATTTTCGCCGCCGCTCTTTGCGGTTTTTTATCGCAGTTGAACTGATGGTTCTTTGTTTCCAATCAACTATTTGAACTGAGCGTTCTTCTCGTTTGTAGCCGGCTGAACTTCAGGTGTCTATTGAGAATTTTGTTTTTCATCCATAAGCGGCAGGCCAACCCGTTCTAAAATGCAGTATTCGCTGGAAGCCCGAATGAACTGTACGGGAGGAACTTCAACTCGGCTTTCACATAAATCGTCCCCAGGAATTTGTTCATCAATCAATCAATAAATCATCGGGTGATGTTTCTTGCAATGTTTGCCTTGCCATTCACAGAAGATAATGTTTCTAACTTGACTTTGGTTGCTCTTGCCACCAGATCTTCGCATAATACAATATCGTTGGCAGTGTAGGGCGTCAGCATCAATGTTGATCGACTGACAGCTTTGCGCCTTTCGGAAGGAGAATATCAATTATAGATCGTCAAAAATCGAACAATATGATTATCGAAATGATCCTAGAGTTTTACGTACAAGGTTGTTTCTACCATAGATCTGAAATTCTTTAAGAAATTTCCAATTTTAGTCTCATGCTCTTAGCAAAACTATCACATCAAATGTCAAAATACGGCAATTTCATCATTCTACACAACCTTGGTACTGCGAAAAAGGCAACATGTTTCTGCCAGGCAATCATTTTCATTTTCAACTTCCATAGCTGCTTTTCCTTTCGGATCGCGGAGACAGACGCGTCAGACATTAATTCCAACGTTCACGACTCTGTGACACAGTCTCAGCTGCAACAGAAGGCAACTGAAGTGTGGAATAGATTTCTTTCATATATTTACATCAGGTTAATTTTCAACGTTCCCCGGAC